CTCTGGAGAGATCCCAACCCCGCCTGGGGGGTTGGGCGAGAGGATCTCCAGAGGTCCCTCCCCGTGCTGGGGCTCTGGGGGTGTGATTCTCGGATTCTCTTTCTGTGCTTCCTTCTGCTGCTAACATCCTGGCCCCGCTTCAAAATGCCTTCACTGGGGGTTTAGCGCTAGTCCGGAATGTGCCCAAATCCACTGTGTGTGACTCGTGGTGCCGGGAGGGGACTGCTGCTGCCTGCTGGGTCGATTAGGGGCTGACCTCTGTCTCCTCATGTAAATAGCTCCCGGTTCATATGCCAGAGCGATTATCGGAGCTATAAAGGTGTGTTTTGCAAGAGAAGCTTGTCTAATTCTTTTGATAGAAATGATATTTATTAGCAGGGGGGTTCTGACCTCACGGTATCAGTCATAGACGTGGGGCACAGCCGTGACTAAGGGCAGACTTTGCCTCCCCTCGGAGAGTCTAGGGCAGAATTGCAGTTCCTGCAGCAGCAAGAAAAGCTGAGCTGAGGTTTGGCTGATCCAGCTCCTGGGTAGGTGGTTAATTGTTGTAGCACAGTAATTAGGCTGTTCCTGCAGGGATTGGAGCTTTGGCTGGTAAGAGAGTGTGATAGAGAGCGTGCTTACCAGCAATCATCCTGTATCTCACCTCAGCAGCCCCTGGTTCTCCATCACTTTGGCAGACCTTTAAGATTGTGCTGGACTTTAAAAGCAGCCTTCTTCTCCCCTAGAGACACTTCCCCTACAAACAGGATTTCTGAGAGAACAAAACTTCCTTCCAGTGGGCATGTTGGGGTGAAGCTGGTTCCCCAGGGCAGAGCTGATTGTAGTTGCTTCTCAGCCACACTCAACCAAAGCTGGGAAAGACAGCCACTGAATGTTCTCAAGCCCCATCCCTGAGGCAGCTGCAGGTGTAATTTTGATTTTATTTCAGGTGCACACACGTTTTCTTCACACCTCCACAGTGGCTGTTACATTTATTAATGTGAGAAATTCAGTCCATTGAATGCATTGATTTGCCAAGTGAGAGGGTGGGTTTTTTTTGATACCAGCAATGAAAACTAGAAAAGCTACACACCAAATTTTGCCTTAAGTCAGGTGCAGGCCCACCAGGTAGCAGGTGTTGGTCTGAGGCAGATGTTTCCATCTGAAGAAGGATGAGCCTTTTTTTTGGCTGTGCTTCCCTTCTGAGCTTCACATCCCAAGAGAACCTTTTCCTCTGCCTTGTCCTACCCATACACCTCAGGGATCTTTGGGAGACTGTCGTGATGGCCTTCTGTGGGCTTAGGCAATCAAGTTTGCATAGCAGTTGATAAAACAAATGGATAAATAGAATTAAAAATACAGCAAATGTGATGTAACCCCCGGGGCCGCAGCTGCGGTACCCACCCGAGCTTCTCTGCGATGCATTTTTCCTCTGTTTTTTTTTCCCCCTCAGAGCCATGCCAAGGTGGCAGTGCTGGGTGCCTCGGGGGGCATCGGGCAGCCCCTGTCCCTGCTGCTGAAGAACAGCCCCCTGGTGAGCAGGCTGAGCCTGTATGACATCGCCCACACGCCCGGCGTGGCCGCCGACCTCAGCCACATCGAGACCCGCGCCAGCGTCAAAGGTGCTGCCCCCACCCCCCCTGAGGGGCTTCCCCAGGGGAGCCTCCATGGGATCCTAGAGCCTAGGGTCCGTTGGAGCTTTTTCTCCAGCAGTGCATGGCTGATGAAGGTTTAGTTGGTTATTGGGGTGTGTGGGGTCGCTGAGATGCGTGGTGAAACCACTGTTGAAGTGGGATTCATAAACACTGGCTGGAAATATTCAGTGCATGTGCCCAGGTGGCCAAGAAGGCCACTCATTCCTGGCCTGGGCCACAAACAGTGTGTCCAGCAGGAGTAGGGAAGGGATCGTGCCCCTGGGGAGCCCACAGCTTGAGCACTGGGGTCAGGTCTGGGTGTCACAGGGCAAGAAACACCTTGAGGGGCTGGAGTGGGTCCAGAGAAGGGCAACGAAGGTGGCACTGGGGCTCTGGGGAACATGATTGTGAGGAGGGGCTGAGGGACCTGGGGGTGTTTAGTCTGGAGAAGAGGAGGCTGAGGGGAGACCTTGCTCTCCACAGCTCCCTGGCAGGAGGCTGGAGTGAGGTGGGGGTTGGTCTCTTCTCCCAAGGAACCAGTGACAGGACAAGAGGAGATGGGCTGAAGTTGCCCCAGGGGAGGTTTTGGTTGGATATTAGGCAGAATTTCTTCCCTGGCAGAGTGGTGAGGCCTTGGCCCAGGCTGCCCAGGGAGGTGCTGGAGTCCCCAGCCCTGGAGGGGTTCAAAAAACATGTGGATGTGGCACTTGGGGACATGGTTTAGTGCCCATGGGAGTGTTGGGTTGATGGTTGGACTTGATGATCTCAGAGGTCTTTTCCAACCTTATTGATTCTATCATTCTATAAGATTCTCAGAAGAAAGCTTGAGTATTGAATCAAAAAGTCTTACTACAAACAGAATTGACCCTCCCTGTCTGTCTGTGGGCATTCTGGATGAAATCAAAACTTGATCTGCTGATCCTCCTTTTATTTGGAGATCACCAAAAAGTTCCATTTTACTGGCCTATGCTTGTCTGCCTGTCTCTCTGGGGGCAGTGGCTGGGGTGCCAAGCTGGGGTTTGGTAGGTGCACGTGACAGGAGGGTTTGGGGGTTCTCAGAAGAGATGAAGTGAGGTTCCCACCACTGAGTTTTGAAACAAGGATGAAACATCAGACAGGATCCATCCACGATCACAGTGCTGTGCTTTCCAGAGCAGGCCTGAACTGAAGGCTACATTAAAAGAGGAACTAGGTGCCTGTGGGCATGATTTCATACTGAAAAGTGTCAGGAATTTGGTTGACTGGCAGAACCCTGATGCCTGTTGTGTGTTCCCCTGCAGGCTTCCTGGGCCCTGAGCAGCTGCCCGAGTGCCTGAAGGGCTGTGATGTGGTGGTCATCCCCGCGGGGGTCCCTCGCAAGCCAGGTATGTGCTGTGCTGGCACCCAGAGAGAGCTGCTCCCTGGGGCTGGGCCCTGCTCTCACTGCTGCCTTGGCATGCCAGGGACACTGCCCTAGAGCTTCCTGGGCTCTTGGGCACCCCAGGGAGCTTCTCTCTGAGGTTATCCCTCATGAAATGGGCAGGGTTGGTTACTGGGGTTGCTGTGTAGGATTGAGGGGCAAAGATTCTTCATGCAGCTGATCCTGAATCTCCCTTAGTGTCTCTAGCCCAGAGCCAGTTAAAACCCACATTCTTTGTTTCATTTCTCATCACAGCAGAAAGAATCCATTTGTTTTGCATTAATTGTGTGATAACTTCTCAGGGCATCTCTGGGTAAATGCTGTTAAGCCTCTGTAGCATGATTCTGACCTGTTCCATTTCTACTCTGTTTTTCAGTGGCCTATCAGGAATGTAGCAGCACTCTAGATTCAGTGCCTAGCTCTTCCTGATCCTTCATTTTTCATGGTTAAAATAGTTGCTGCAGCAGAAGTGAGAAGTGGCACTTACACAACCAGCACTTTGTCTTTTCAACAGAGCAGTTGGTTTTCAAACTGTACTGGGGGAGATGAATTCAGAGGGGGAGGAGAATTTGTCTACTGGGTTCAGTTTTGGGCACCTCAATACAAGAAGGACTTAGAGGTGCTGGAATGTGTCCAGAGAAGGGCAGTGAAGCTGGGGAAGGGTCTAGAGCCCAAGTGTGGGGAGGAGCAGCTGAGGGAGCTGGGGGTGCTGAGCCTGCAGCAAAGGAGTCTCAGGGGAGACCTTCTGGCTCTGACACCTCCTGACAGGAGCCTGGAGCCAAGTGGGGGTCAGGCTCTGCTCCTAAGGAACAAGTAAGAGGACAAGGAAATGGCCTCAAGTTGCCCCAGGAGAAGTTGAGGTTGTCCCTGAGGAACAATTTCTTCCCCTTGAGGGTTGCCCAGGGCTGTGCCAGGCTGCCCAGGGCAGTGGTGGAGTCCCCACCCCTGGAGGGGTTTAAAAGCCATGTAGATAGGGTGCTGAGGGACACAGTTTAGCAGTGGCCTTGGTGGTTGGGTTCATGGTGGGACTTGCTGAGATCTGACAGGTTTTTTCCACCCTAAACAGTTGTAGGGTTGTGTCTTGGAGCAGTTGCACTGAGCCCCCCTGGCAGGCTGCTGTGGGCAGCGTGGTCACACCCTCCTCCAGGCTGCCTGGGTGGAATCTGTTCTGAGAACTCTGGCTGGGCTGGCTGCTCCTGGAAAGGGCTGATCTCTCTGAAAGGGCAGCAGTTCTTTGTTAATTATGTGCTAATTGCATTAGTGAGAAGAGGAACCTTTGGAGCCAGTTCATGGCTGCAGCTGGGAAGTTTTCTCTCGATCCATGAAACCAGAGGCTGAGGTCTCTCTCCAGAGGAGAATAACTGTGTTTTGGTTGAGTAAACTGTGGGTCACTTAAAGTCTTGTGCTGGCTGTGTTCTAGGGATGACCCGTGATGACCTGTTCAACACCAATGCCAGCATTGTTGCCACCTTGACATCTGCCTGTGCAAAGCACTGTCCAGAAGCCATGATCTGCATTATTTCTAACCCGGTAAGCACCTCCTGGACACCTTGAAAATCTGGAGGAAGAAGGATCCAGACAGAATACTGGAGTTACCTGTTCAGTTCCTGTTTATCCAGGGTCTGCAGAGCTATTTGCAGGTTCTACTAACCTGTTTTACTCAGGCTGTGTTTGTTGGGGGAAACTTGTTGAGCTGTTAAGCACTTTTATCCCCATCTGTGTGGCTGTGGTTGTGATACATGCTGGTGAGCTGGTTGGGAGAGAAGTCTTCACTCACTAAGGGAGGAAGGTTTGTAATCTGAATGAATGAATTTATTGTCTTAGTGATTATTTAAAGTGGAAGATTTATCCTCTCCTGACTGTAAATTGCTTTTCAATTTAGGAATTATAATAATTGGCTACAGTTGACTTCAAGTTGGAAGTGCACTTCAGGTTTTTTGCTGGCCTGTTCACTTCATGCACTGGCATAATTACTGGTTTTAATGAGGTCTTGCATATTGCTTTATAGGTAAATTCAACCATCCCAATAACTTCAGAAGTCTTCAAGAAGCATGGTGTGTATAATCCCAACAGAATCTTTGGTGTTACCACACTGGACATTGTCAGAGCCAATACTTTTGTGGCTGAACTGAAGGTAGGTCATACTGGCAGAGGGTTCCTGTGGGCTTTGCTCATTAAAACTATCAAAAATGCTTTTAAAGTCACTGCACAGAGCCTGAAGATCTGGAGGCAGAGGAGGGATTTCCTGTTCCCATTCTCTGGAGGAGCCTGGGGATAGGGTTTCCTGCTAATGTGGTTGAAGAGACTCTGACCTTTCCTTGCCAGAGCTGTCCCCTGGGAGCCAGCCCTAATTCTGTCAGCATTTTCAACCCTGCTGGTGCAGCCAAGGAGAGGGTTGAATTGTGGTGTCTATCTGCAGGTGCAGCTGTGGGTGTTACAGGATATGCTGCAAAGTACCAGGAGCTGTAACAGGTTACTGCTCTCAACAGCCCTGGTGGAGTTTGTACTTGTGCTGCCATTTATCTGAACTTGCATTAATAATAGCCTATAACTCTCTGAGGTTATCAGAGGAACCTGTAGATCTGGCTCTGCCCCTGGAGTGCAGCTGCCTCCAAACCTCCTGTGCTGGGTTACAGATGTGTCCAAATACCCAGGGCAGAACATGGGGCCTGGTAGTTTGAAATGTTTTTTCTTGTGCAGTGCTTCAGAAGCTGGAAAGTTTCCTGTTTCCCTTAGGGCTTGGATCCAGCTCGAGTGAGTGTCCCTGTTATTGGTGGCCATGCTGGGAAGACCATCATCCCTCTCATCTCCCAGGTGAGCCAGAGCTGGTGCCACTGGCCTCAGGCTCACCAGTTAGCAGCAGTGTACCCTGAGTGCCTTTGTGATGGTGTGTGACCTGCTGGGGTGCAGCAGGGACAGTCTCTCCCCTGCTTTAATCCTGGGATGAGGGATAGGGGAAGGCATGAGCTAAATCTGACTCCTGTGGGTGCTTTAAATAGCTCCAGCCTTTTTCCTCTGAAGGAGTTTGGGATCAGAACTGAGGTGTAGCGTGGGTGTTGAGATGTCTTGGCACTACTTGTCTTGGGTTTTACTTTTTGTGACAGGTATTTCATGATATAAATACTTTGCTTCAGCAAAGGAAAATGCTTTTGCTGTGGTGGACTAGAAACACCAGCTCAGCACTGAGCCTGAGCTGTGCCTGGTGTTTGTGTGGGGAGCCCTGCTCCAAAAACAACTGGCAGGCAGGGAGGGGCTCCCTTTGTGCCCCTGAGCCAGGGTGAAGGGCAGTCCTAAAGCAAGACAAAACTTTGTGAGGAGCAGTGGCCAAGGAGCAAACTGAGGAAGGGGAGAAAGCTGGGGAATGAAGAATCCTTCACAGGGAGGTGTTCTTAGGGAATAAGAGCAAGAGCTTTGGAGCAGCTGAATGCTGAGAGGGTGCTAAACAGCTGGGACAGAGATAGCTGCACTTAACATACATGCATAGCTGTGTCTGAGGGTTCAGTGACTTCCTAAATACTGCTGGCAGACTGAATCCTCCTGAACCAAAACCACGGGGAGCCTTGGGTTTGCTGTTAAGCTGTGGTTTGCCCTTGGGGAAGCTGGCCATGGCTAGTCCCCTTCACAGCCTGGGCAATAGCCAGCAGCCTTGGTGGACACTGAGAGCTGGTTGGTTTGTCTGTGAGCTGAGCTAACTAATTTTCCCCATTGACAACTGTTAAAACAACTCAGATAGTATAAAAAGCATCATGTGGGTGCCTCAGGCTGGATCTGGAGGGTCCTGGTATTGGAGAGTAACTTCTTTTTTCCAATCTAGTGCACACCAAAAGTGGACTTTCCTCAGGATCAGCTGCAAAAGCTTACAGGGAGAATTCAAGAAGCTGGCACTGAAGTTGTCCAAGCTAAAGCAGGAGCAGGTTGGTTCTTGGCTACAACTTTCATGTCATCCTTGCTGGGCAGCTGAACGGCCACAGTGCCCTGCAGTTTGATCTCATGTACAGCTGTGGGGCAGAACTCTGAACAGCTGGTTACAAATCTGGCTGCTCTGCCACATCAGCCAGGGCCTGAACTGGGCAACTAGAAGCAGCTTAACATGTAGGCAAGACTAAACAAGTGATCCCATGCCCTTTATGGCTTCAAAAACAACATCCCCTATCAGCTGAAGTCGTGTCTTCCTGTAGATCTGCCCAGCTAGCACACCGCTCCCACAGGCTGGGAGCTCCAGCCCCGTGCACCTTCAGCCCTGTGAACCCCTCCGTGTGGAAGCCCTCGGTGCTGAGGGCAGTGCCCAGTTTTGCTGTGAGCTGTCCTGAAGGTGGCCTCTCCCCTGCAGGCTCTGCCACGCTGTCCATGGCCTACGCGGGCGCGCGGTTCGTCTTCTCCCTGGTGGACGCCATGAACGGCAAGGAGGGGGTCATCGAGTGCGCCTTCGTGCGCTCCCAGGAGACTGAGAGCCCCTACTTCTCCACCCCTCTGCTCCTGGGGGTACGTACCTCAACTCTCCACAGCACCTGCTGGTTTCAGTGTCACCTCCTGCTGGGGCTGAGGTGGGCAGCAGAGGGTTCCTGTGGGAGCGTTTGGGTGCTGTACGCGGGCGTTGCCTTCCCGCTTGACAGGGGTGATGCTGCTGTTATCTGCTCTTAGACTGTGGATCCCTGTCCTGGTTCTGTGTAAAAAGGGGTTCAGGGCAGGACCCACATGGAGCAGAACTATGTACTCACCTCTCCCCCGCCCTGAGAGAGAGAGAGACTTTGGAAAAAAAAAAAAAAATGAAGTATATTGTTTAACAAGGAACAGAAAACGAAAAAAGGAGGTAAGGAAAGTAATATATACAAAGATTTGGGGAAAATACAAAAAATAAAATATACAAAACCCTCAGAAATGGTTCCAGGGTCCCACGGAGTGAAAGGACAACTTCCCTCTCTGAGCTCCAAGGCAGGAGGGAAATTAGAACCCACTCCCTGCCTCTTATCAGAGTGTGTGTGGGAAGGGGAGGGAATACAATGGTTCACCCCCACCCGGGGTCCTCCCAGTTGCTGGAAGGTCACGCCCCCATTCCAAGCCTCAAACCACAACAATCCCTGAGTCTGAGAGCTTCAGACTTGGCTTAAGAGGTCGTGCTTGCCTCAAGACAGTGCCTGTTTACAAAGGGCTTTTGTCTGATTAACCAGAGTCAGCAATCCTGTCTCCTCAGCTTGATCTGCTACGAGCAAATCCCTCAGAAAATGAGGAGCATGGGGAAATGCAGCGTGGATGAGGATTGATAGATTGCTTTCAGGACCTCTGCTGAACTCTAAAGATGTGTTCCTTTTGTCACCCTTCCCCTGTGGGTGGAAGGGAAGGCAAGGAAGCTGCAGCCCTGTGCTGGCTGCTGGGGTGCAGAGGACAGGGTGTGATGTCTTGGGTGGTGAGGGAATGGAAGTAGAGAGGTAGTAAGGAGGAAGGGTTTGGGTGTAGGGGTGAGGTCTCTTAGAGTGCAACTCTGAAGCAGTTTCAGACCATACACAAGGAGGGAAATTCTCTTTCCCAGCAGTGGGTTTGAAGGTAGCAAGAGGAATGAAGGAGCAGTTTGCATCCCTCTCCTCTGGAAGGAGCTGGCAGCCTAGCTTCAAGCTTCATGCTTCTGGGCAGGAAAAGAGGAGTTTGTGAAAGCTGCAGAAGTTGCTACAGACAAGAGGCTTGGCAGACTAGAGATGACAGAGGTCCTAGGCTGGGTCTCCATCTCAGCTGGGTAATACTTAATCAGAGTTGTTAAGTTATTCTCTAGGTCATTCAATGAATGGTTAATCCTTAAATCCTCTTTACCTCAGAAAAATGGAATTGAGAAGAACCTAGGTATTGGCAAGATCACCCCCTTTGAAGAGAAGATGGTTGCTGAGGCCATGTCTGAGCTGAAGGCTTCTATTAAGAAAGGAGAGGACTTTGCAAAGAACTTCAAGTGAAGAGCTGATGACGGGGAGGAATTAACAACTTCCTTAATTTATTAAGGCATCATGTCACTTTGTGACTTCAGATTCAGAGCTCCTGCTTTGATCGAAGTCTGTATTAGCTTCATGGTTGTTGCCAGTGCAGAGCCTAATCATCAATAAATGGCCTCATTTTTTCAGTGTACCCTCTGGAGCTGTCCTGATGTGCTGGGCTCTGGGAGGGGAGGAGCTGCAGGGCTCTGGGAGGGGAGGAGCTGCAGGGCTCTGGGAGTTTTTCCATCTCAGCAGGGATGAAATAGCCTCTCAGAGCAGGTGAAGCTGCTGCTGGGGTTTGGGCTTGGGCTCCTTGCTGGGAAACCAGGCATGGGCAGAGGGGATCCAGATGGGGTGAAGAGGCTTGAGGAAGGGGTCACTGAGTGGAGTGATCCAAGAGGGCTTTTAGCAGGAGCTGATGTTCCTGCTCTTACCTTGTGTTGCCTTTGTATCTGGGGTAATATGAAGAGTTAGTAAAAGGGCACAGTGGTTGGGACGTCAGTTCTGCTCTAAGAAAATGAAATGCTGAGTGGCTTCCTTCTAGTTAGGAACAAAAGCATCTACATACATTTCTTTTACCTTCATCCTCTTGTGAATACAAAAATAAATGTCTGCAAGAAAAAGGTGGTGACGAGCTCTGCTGCTGACTTCTTTGAAGGTAAGCTTTAATGAAGGAAGCTATTAATTCCCCCTTCCCCGTGCTCTGTGGGCTGCTTACCCTGTTGCTTTGAGTTCCTCTAATCCATGTAGGCTGAATTCCAAGTTGAACAGACTTTTATTTTGATCAGATGGAGGAAACACCAAAGCCCAGCACCTCTGGAGGACCTGAGGGGAGTGCTGGTTAGAGGGAGAGAACCTGGTGTAGAAACTCCACATGAGGATGATACCTAGAGGTAGTAGATGCTTTGGTCACTGCTTTTTTTTATTCCTTCAGACTTCTTGTATTCTTATTCTCTTCTGAGCTATCTGAACGAGGTCTTTTATTTGAATTAGTTCATCATCAGGGTCTAGAGAAGAAGTCAGAAGAGACAGCTGAGGGACCTGGGGTTGTTCAGGCTGGAGAAGAGGAGGCTCAGGGCAGATCACCTCACTCAACAACTCCCTGACAGGAGCCTGGAGCCAGGTGGGGGTCGGGCTCTTCTCCCAAGGAACAAGCAACAAGACAAGAAGCAATGGCCTCAAGTTGCCACAGGGGAGGTTGAGGTTGGCCTTGAGGAACAATTTCTTCCCCTGGAGGGTTGCCCAGGGCTGTGCCAGGCTGCCCAGGGCAGTGGTGGAGTCCCCACCCCTGGATGTGGTGCTGAGGGACACGGGGCAGTGGGGACCTGGCCGTGCTGGGGCACAGCTGGACTTGATCTTAAGGGTCTCTTCCAACCAAAACAATTCTGTGATTCCATGATTCCATCCTGGACAAGGTCACACAGCTGTGGCACTGGAAGATGCAGTGAGAATAAAGTGCTGGGCTCATGGCTGCCTGGTGAAGGTGTAGGCAGAGGACAGCACTGAGGTCCTGTCTCTGCTCCAGGAGTTGTGGAGCTGGGCTCCTCCCAGGAGTCACACTGAGACAGAAGTTACTCAGCAGCCCTGGGACAAGTCATTAGTAGATAGATTAAAGAATTAAAGACTCTGCTGGAGGGAGGGGAGGGAGGCTGTTGGGGCTGGAGGTCACCGAGGGGAGGAGTGACCAGCCAGGCCTGGGCTGTGGGACCCGGGGCTCTCCCAGCAGCACGGGTGCTGTTGTGCCCACAGATGGGCACTGAGGTTCTGCAAACCCATCCTCCAGGGCTGGAGCTCTGCAAACCCATCCTCCAGGGCTGGAGCTCTGCCCCCTGCCCGTGTGCCCAGCTGGTCTGGGGCAGCTCTGACCTGCAGCTGCTGAGCAGGTCGCCCAGGGCTGGAGATGTTAGAAGCTGAGGTTGGTGGTGTGGTTTGGGTTATTCTGTCTTGTGTCAGCAGTCTGAATCCAGCCAGTCTGGGGGAACTGCATGGACAAGCAGAAAGCTTTGCTTCTACTAGTAGGGACTCTGGGAGCTGAGGTGGAAGAGGATGATTTCCCAGCACCTGCTGACTTGTAGATTCTTGGGGGTCTCCTTCAAATCCCCTTAATGTTAACAGTGTCCCTTCCCCTTCTGTGATGTGTTTTGGGTTCTGTTTCTTCCCCCCAGTCCCATGCCTTGTGTTTGGAGTGGCAGCTATCCCCTGTGCCTGGAAATCTGCTCTGCTTTCAGGGAGGGAAATGAGACACTCTCCTGTGGCTTTCTGCAGTGGAGACCAGGAGGGCACTGGATGGAGGTGGGTAATGAACTTGTGTAGGTGTTCTCTTGGTCAGAAGTGCTGTCCCCCGGGCCAGAAGCTGCTCTGGTGGGTAACAGCTGCTGTGAAGGCTGCAGATGATTTCCAGAGGTATGTGTGGGACATCCCACAGGCTGGAGCACAGAAAGTTCCACCTCAACATGAGGAAGAACTTCTTTGCTGTCAGGGTTCCAGAGCACTGGAACAGGCTCCCCAGGGAGGTTGTGGAGTCTCCTTCCTTGGAGACTTTTCAGACCCATCTGGGTGTGTTCCTGTGTGACCTGCCCTAGACTGGATGGTCCTGCTCTGGCAGGGGCCTGGCCTTGATGATGTCCAGAGGTCCCTTCCAACCCCTAACATTCTGTGATGCTGTGATCCCAGCTCTGAACAGACTCCCCAGAGGAGGAGCTGGGGCCTACCCCTCCTCAGGAGAGGGAGGAATTTGCTGGGTGTACCTAGATAAGCCAGAGCTTTGCCCTGGAAGTTGTTTCTGGGTGCTGTCTCTAGGGAGAGGCTCAACCTTCATCCTCTGTCCTGCACCTTGCTGAGTCACAGCACCAGCTCCAGAGCTCAGCCCCTGCTGGGTGTTACCTCCCATGGGGGTGAGTGGCTGGGTCTGGGAGCAGGAAAGAGCCCTCCCTGCCCAGGGCTCTTGGGTTTCATCCTGCTTCCTGGGCAGACCTTTGTCTCGGGGGTCTTGAAGCATCTGAGATCTTCCACTGCAGCATCACTGGTGTGCAGGGAGCTGCCTCCTCCTCGGGCAGCTCTGTGCTGGAGCCCAGATGCCAAGGCCCAGAGGAGATGGGGATGGAGAGGAATAAATAAAGGCACTCCAGATGGCCAGATGTCAGGTCACTTGATCCCACCTGCTGCTCCCGTGCTGCTGGGGCAACATGATGAGGTGCAGGAGAGGAGAAAAGGAGAAGAGCAAATGGTGAACTTCACAGCTTGGGTCCTTCACTGGGGTTGATGTTGGTGTCTCTGAGGGGATTTGGGGGGGTGACTGCAGGAGCAGGGTGCAGGCTGGCAGCCCTGTGCCCTTCATTCCTGCAGAACCAGTTCTTCTCCTCCTGGCTCTGTTCAAGGGCTGGTGCTCTGTGGTGGGGGTACAGACCTGGCCCCCCCTTGTGCCCCCTTTCACCCCGGGGAGGGCTCTGGATGGTGGGAGCCGTGAGGTGGCAGCAGCAGCTTGCCTTTGGGTAGGGCTGGGACCCCTGCAGCCTGGGGCCAATCGCTGGCATTTCGGTGATATTTAGAAGCAGCAGCAGAGGAAACAACAACAGGAAGACAGCTGAGTGCAGCCTCTGCCTTGCCAGAGCTGGCTGCCTTCCCAGCTTCAGGAAGGGGTGAAACTGGAGGGGCTGGGGCACCTCACGAGGGGGCTGATGTTCCACCCCAGCACCTCTGCTCAGCCTCGGGGGGCTGGGGCTCACAGGAGGCTTTGTGTGGCTCAGCCCTTCTCGGGGGCTTCAC